TCATTTTGCCATTACTGTTCAATGGACCAGACCCTACAGAAAGATGAACTAGCAGTGTCCCAGTAAGAACGCTGCTACTGTATACTTAGTCAGAAGGCCATAACATACAGTACAGTACTCCTGTGGAAAGAACAACTGATTCCAGAAGAATAAGCAACTGGTTTCTAATAGTCTGAACTGGTTTAAATTTCATTTGAAATCTACTAGTATTTCAAATATTACCAGAAGAATGCTGTCTTTAAAAGTGATGCTGCAATATACTGGACTTGGTTTGAAATGTTCTGAAATGGATGGAACTGGTGACCAGTAAATTTCAAGGGTGCAGCTAGATCTGACATACTGTATAGATGCCGCTACCAGTCCCTTTTGAATGCTGCAGGTTTTGAAAAGGAGGACATTACCCATCCAGTCCAAAAGTACATATTTAAAATGACAAATTTAAGCAATTTACAAGGTTCACCAATAGTTTATTCTTGTGCTGCACAGTCGAGGTGTTAACAGGGGGTAAGAACAACACATAATAATTACTTTGGATAATTAACGAAACAAACCATCAGAATCACCTGAATTAACTCAAAAGAGACGATGATTATAGTCAGTGAAGTCATTAGGTTTCTGTTAGGGTTCTTAGACATGATAGTTAATTGAATCGACCTATTTTGCAACAAACATGCTGCCATAATGAAAGTGAGGCACCTCTGTGTGTATACAAGAACTCCCTCTGCTGAAACATTTTCTTCACAGTACGCCTATAAGTCTGGTTCTGGGATGGACTTTCCTCTTTACCTCTACGATTTAGTCATAGCAAGCATAAAGGAAACTGATTACCGTAAACAGCATAGTTCTGTTTTCCTGGATGTTTGTGGGCTGAACACCACAGGGTCCATTCATATTCCTCTTCTGCAGCTCTGGAGAAATGCCATTCTCATCTAGCGCTTGCAGGGATGGAAGACTCGCCTCTGTTCTGAAGAACACAGTCCGCTGGCAGCTCTGATTGGCCGAACTGAAGTCACCTGACTTGCTGCCTTCCTCCTCATTGGCCGAGGACGCGAAGAACAGGGAGCGCTTGACGCGCGCCGAAGAGGAGCCCGCGGAGGAAGTGGCGGGGCTGCCCGGCTCGGATCCGGCCCCCCCTGCCTCCTCCTCCGCGGTGCGGAGGTGATTGAATTTCTCGATGCACTCATCGATCAGCGCCGGCGGGGC